GTCTAACTTATCATAACGTTTATATCGTAATAATATTTTCCACGGTATTACAAAACTTAATTTATGGAAATTGACTTAACTTTTGTTTTTGTCAACTCCGTTGACCCATAAAAGATCGAACGCGGCCCGGTTGCGCAGGTCATTCGCTCAAAAGCGATAAATAACCGAAAGCGGTTCGCTCGGCACTAAGATGTTTACATTATGTAAATCGCCGTTTAGCGTCGTCGCCCTCTTTTAAATTTACACCCAAATTAAGACATTTAGAGTTATCGATCCCGATATAAATCAGTTTACTCTTCTGTCTCGGCTTGTAATGGGCCCTCCCTTTATTACTAAAGCCATCAAAATTAATACAGTACAATAAAGTATTTTTTCCTCGGCTCGACCGACAATTGTACGGTCATTTGTACGGTTAAAGATCGTTAAACTGTTATTTAACGATTCGTTTTAGGAATGATAAAGATTTTAAAAAATCAACACAATTCGTTTCCTTTCATCTCTCTCGTTCTCTCTATAATTTTTAATTTTTGGATAATCATTTTTAAATAACCTTTGATATAATTGGTTTCCATCTTTAAATATTATAATTATGAATTAAAATAAGATCTGGGATAATGGCTAATTGCAAAGAAAAAACTCTTCGACGATCTTTCGAGGAATATATTTTGTTCATCAGGACTTTTTAAGTAATAATTCAGAAGGGTAGACGGTTGTAATCCATGACCATAATGTGCTTTATTATTATAGATAGTATGTTGTAAGATTATTTTCTTTTGTTTACATAATAAAGTACTTTTTTCATTCATTCATAATAATTTAGAAGTTTAACAAGTACATATATTAAAAAATTTGAAATTATAGTTGCAAGTATAATGAAAAATGAAAGAATTAATGGGGTATAGTAAAAAATGAGGTGACATGGGCAGGATGTTCCATTTCCTTCTTTATATCTTCAATTTTCTACTTCATTTTACTTGACATCAAAGGGTTTTTTACATTTTTGGGAATAGATTTTTTTTAAATTAACTTATTTATTTACAACTGCACTTTAAATATGCAATAAGAAAAAATATTGAAATTAATATTATATTGTGTGAACGTGCACACAAGGTTGTATGTAAGAAATAATTGTAGACTTGAAACTATATCTGATTTTTGTTGCTGATATGTTCTTTTACCTAAAAAACTTATTTATCTCTATCTCATTCTCTAACTCACTCTATCACTCTCTCACTCTCTCTCTCTCTCTCTCTCTCTCTCTCTCTCTCTCTCTCTACGATTTTCTACCTCTCCTTGTCTCTCCATTCGCCCTCTCGATTCTCTTAAGGTGGCCATTGACGATCGCTCTTAGCAGTCCAAACGGAGCGACGCCCTCCCGAGGGTTTTTTTAATCTATGCCACGATAGAAATAAAAGAAATTCGGTCCTCAACCAGTTGGTCGACCTTTTCAAAACAAAGGACACAAATGCAACGAGAGATGCGGTATTGATAACCCCTAACAATGATCAGAAATCGTAGTAGAGAACTTAAGTTCTTTGTAGTTCATCCCTGTAGCGAGAAATCGTAATGTGGCTGCCAACCTTTCATGTAGAGTGATGATTTCTCTCATGAGTGTCTTTTGTTTCCTAATCAAGGGGGTAACAAGCTGGAGTAAATATAAATAAGACGTTAATCTTTTTTTTTTGTAAGGTTTTGGTGAAATGAAAAAATAGTGTCACGAGGGGATTCGAATCCACGACATTTGGCTAAATTCGCCGCTGCGCTAACCACTTGAGCTATCGCGACTTCGATAGTTCGATCCACTCGGACACCAACTCCCCATCTCAACCTACAACCTTTCGAATTTTCTCTCTTTTTGCCATTTGTTGGTGTCCGAGAGGTTCGAAGTCACGATAGCTCAAGTGGTAGAGCAGCGGCGTATTTAGCCGAAGGCCATGGATTCAGATACCTCTCGTGGCACTAGCTTTTTCAGTTCAACCGAAACCTCACAAAAAAGATTAATTAATTTCTTAAAGATTAATTATCTTTCTTTTCACTTTCTTTCTCTCTCCACTCTCCTTTTGTCAATCACTGTAGTTTGTTTTTCTATATCACGTTTAGAAAAACATGATCCATTGGCTGATCCTAACTTTGTTTTTGGTGATACGATTCAGGAATGGTCCCAACATAGTTCCCTGTGGGACGCTTACTAATATTGATTTATATGCTGCTGAGGCAAACCAAATTTTTGCCTCACAATTTTTTTCCTTTGATATGATCGGATGAGAATGTATTGTTGCAGCAGGTTTTTTTTTTAAATATTTTACATTTTATCCAAGAATTTTTATGTGGTAGGTATTCGAGTCGTCGGGTTTGCGCACTGTTTACAAATGAATACACACCATTTCGTGAAATAAATCCATTTCAGCTCGTTGTTAGTCAAAACAACGACGAAAATATTAAATGTCGAAAAGTTTTGGACAATGGAATGCAATTTTTCTCAATTAGAAGGAGGACCTTGGGACCGGGTGCCCGCCGGACTAGTGTCCCACCCCCGCCCACAACAATCCTAGAGGGGTTGCCGCTAGGGGTGGGGTTGGTGGCCATTAATCATCCTTCAGGGGCAACATGGCCGACCCAGCCATACCCCCTCGTGGCTCGGTACAAGTATCAATCATGACAGGCCTCCCGGAGCTGCCCAACCCTTGATTTCCCTTTAGATTAGTGCGCGGGGGGTGGCAGCTCCCAGACTGGAATGGGGTTGGGGCCAAATTGAATATACGCCTAATCAGACGTGTAATTGGTCAAAGCATTGACATTCCTTGAGGGAGGATAGAGTTGGGTTTCAATTTGTTTCAGCCTTCTCCAAGTCCCTCAAGACAGTCAATGCTAGACTGCTTTCCAAAATATGCCAGGCGACCTTCGAAACCCGATCCTACAACAACATATTTTCAACATATTCTGTCATCTGGAACTGCTGTGATTTTAAAATTGATAAGAGCAACCGGGAAACTTATAAATTCACTCTATTTCAAGTCGATCCAGGGATTAGCAATATATCAACCCATAATTGACTTTAAAAGTACAAAAATATTGGGCAATACAAAATATTTTCTATTCCCATCTACCAGATTTTGTTCTCTCTATCCCCATTTTCACTCCGAATTATTTGTACTATATTTCTCTATTACACTCTCTTTTCTATCTCTTTCCCCCCTCTCAATCTCNACACACACACACTCACATTTTTTATCTAATCTATCTACCTCTTTATCTTATTATCTCGACCTCTTTGTTCTCTTTCCCTCTCTGTCTCATTCCTTCTTTCTCTCTCCTTCTTACATATTTAACTTTCTCTCGTCCTCAAAATTAAATGCCAAATTTTTTTTAAAGTATTAGGTCAAATTGTGCAAAATTGTTGTTGAATATATACTTCACATTTTTTTGTAATGTTTTGGTAGTTTTATTATCAATCCGTAATCGACTTTAAAAGTCAAAAAATTATTGGACAATACAAAATATTTTCTATTGCCTTCATACTTCTCTCTTACACTCTTTTTTCTATCTCTCTCCCTCTCTCTCTCTCTCTCTCTCTCTCTCTCTCTCTCTCTCTCTCTCTCTCTCCCTCTCTTTCTCTCATTATTTATCTATCTCTTTATCTTATTATCTCGACCTCTTTGTTCTCTTTCCCCTCCTCTGTTTCTTTCCTTCTTTCTCTCTCCTTGTTACTTGAATATATACGAATTGTTGTTGAATATATACTTCACATTTTTTGTAATGTTTTGGTAGTTTTATTATCAACTCATAATTGGCTTTAAAAGTAAAAAAAATATTGGGCAATACAAAATATTTACTATTCCCATCTTACCAGATTTTGTTCACTCTAACCACATTTTCACTCCGACTTATTTGTACTATATTTCTCTCTTACACACACTCTTTCTCTCTCTCTATCACTATTTATCTATCTCTTTATCTTATTATCTCGACCTCTTTGTTCTCTTTCCCCCCTCTGTCTCTTTCCTCCTCTCTCTCTCCTTCTTACTTATTTAACTTACTCTTGAACTCAAAATCAAATGACAAATTTTTGTAAATGTATAATAGGTCAAATTGTACTAAATTGTTGTTGAATATATAATTCACATTTTTTGTAAAGTTTTGGTAGTTTTTCTGCGTTCTTAACCTTTACAGGTTCTTACCTTTGTAAGGTAAATATTAGGTAAAATACAGTAAATAAATAATACTTCTTGTTGTTATAACAACCAAGACAACGAAAATGAAACTTTGTGTTCGATAAAGGGTGGTGAAAGGCCGAGGCTCTCTGCTGTCACAGTCTCCAGTGCTATATTTCAAGCTTATTGATTCAGCGTGAATCATCTTTTTTACAATTAGCACTCTTTTAAAATCTTGTCGAAGTGCTTTCGTTCGAATGAAACACTCCATTTGTATTAATGTGCGATGGTTTTGCCTGAAAAGAAATGTAATGTTACCTTGTCCACGGAATTATAAAAAATTAACGCTATGTTTTAAAGGAATAATCGCTTTTCCACCGGAGTCGGTATATGTTAATAATAAGAATTTTTAACCAGCATAATTCTGTTTAATTGCGGGTTGGGTCTGAGCCCGAGTGGTGTAAACGAAGGAGCGGGCCATAACCGCTAGGCCAACATGTTATTAGCATGGATTTATGATCCGCAGGAAGATGTCCGCCCTGGGATTATTACGGGCGCCTTTTGACATCGGGCTGGAAGTCTCGCCGTGGCCGGAAGATGGATTTTTTATTTATTTAAATCAACGGAATTGATAAAAACGTCAAAATATAATAATATATTGTTGAAAGGTAACTCTGAAATTATGCATGTATACGTGTCTAGCATGGGTCGTGCATTAGGACGGCAGATAAAATTCGGTACGAAGGGAAAATTATAGGTTACCATTTTTTAATGAGACAGACCATTTTTTGCGAGGGGGGAAGAAGTTTTAAAAAGATATTTTTAATTTTTTTGTTTTCTTTTTTCCAGATTTATCAAATGTATTCTCCCTTGAAGACCACTGGATTACCTGTCTGGATTATCGATCTGTTCTGACAAGTGTTGTCTCTCCGACTCGTCCCTAAAAGGAACAAAAGATTAAACGAAATAAGCGAACCTTGACTTGGCGAACCTTGGTTGACCTGTGATGCCCAACATGTTCAAATATGCAATAACTTCCAAAAAAATTCAAAGCATTAACGAATGTTCATAATAAAATATTTTATTAATCAAACTAGAAGAGTTTTTACAATCCTTTTTATACTAAACTTATTAGCAATATGAATTTGTAACGAGCGATTTGGCAACGTAGACTAAACTTTCAATGTAAAAAATAGTTACTGAAAAGTTGAATTGAGAAACAAATTACTAATCTACTTGGCCATACCTTATGCGACAGTGAAGTTGTATACGTGCATACTTTGTAACGAGCGACTTGGCAACGTAGGCTAAAATATTTCTATTATTTGAAGTTACCTACCATCTTGGTCGGCTTACCCTCGCTGAGTTTTGTTGGTTCATGCGCCATAATCAAACATACTGAATAAGTTTATCATCACGCAGACCCCACAAAGAAATCTTACAATTTAATATATTTCTGTAGAAAGAAACAGTTGATATCTATTTTTGCACCAATAAAAAACCCTGAATCTAAAATTTTGAGAAAGAAAACAACATTTTTCTTAAAAATTTTTGTCTCCGATATTTCTTCCAAAATCACAATACACAATACTTTGAAATAAATCCGCCATCATCACTAGGTTTAAACCCTCTAAAAACTCGTAATGGCGCAAACTGTTTCCGTATGTAAATGAAAACTGGTGATATAAAATAAAACCCTTCGGGAGTATCTGTAGAATTCGTCCTTAACTCACTTTTACTCACATAAAAAAATGTAGCTATCCCCGCAAAGAAAGGAAATTCACCTTCCAACTATTGTAATAATGCTTTATTTGGATAATGTAGACAGGTGTTATGAATTTTTAAGCGTACCATTGGATATCGGAAAAAAAATTGCCCCTGGCTAATCCGGCCTAAGTTGTTTAATTTTTTATTACTATAAACATTCATATTTAAAGGTTTTATATTAAATCGAATCCAGAATGCTTTTGTAACAAAACTTTTTGATTTACTTTACCGTTAGTTAATGATTATTCGGAGATCGTGAGATGCGGTCTGGTGTGACGAAGGTTTTAGAAAAACATTTTCTTCAACGTGCAAACGTTTCGATCTTTATTGAGATCATCTTCAGGGCTCAAAGTGTTTGTTTTCCGTGTAGATGTGTCATTCTTGTGCCTGTGTTGGCACTCTCAACTCGACAGACTCCGAATAATCATTAAGTAACGGTCACTAAACACCACACATATAATCATAACTTTGAAATACGTGCACATCAAAGGCAGAGAAACATATTTACAAACATATTTGACATACTTGGGCCCACTGACAAGAATGCTTGGATACGTCTAATATTTTTGACCTAGTATCACCAAAAAAAGTTTAATAGAAATAGGTCATTCCACGTCCATAACTTCACTTATAAGTATAGCGTTTTCAAGTACACACACGCGCGCGCGCATATACATATACATATTTTTTATTGGATCTATCTGAAAATTTATTGTATGTTTTTATATAGGTTTCCATCTGCTTCAATTCAATCTACCATTAAAATAAAATGCAACTAAAACTCTCTTTGGTAAAATAAAAAAGAAAAAGAAAACTTCAAGTTAAATTATGTAACCACGACATCTAATCTATGCAGAACACAACTTGAACCTCCAAATAAAAAAAAAAAAATATTTTATTTAAAAAAATTTAACTTTAATTTGACTTAAACAAAATAATCGTTATAATCTGGGATATCGTAAAATATTGTAAAAGTTGTTTACAAAATTTGTACGATTATTGATGATGCGCCCCTTGGTGAAAACAACCCTTTGGACCAGTATAGCTGGCCGAAACTGCGGCTTCCTGTCAGGATTGTCATGCTGACAACATTTTTCAATTTTCAGCACGGAAAGACAGACTGGATAAATAAATAACATAAATGGATCGAGGGAGGATTAAAAGAAAAAATAAATATTTACCAGGGGTTAAAAAAATGTGAAGCATGCCAACAATTTGAGGCGTATATTCATCTATTCGTTTTTTTTATTCACTACTAGTATGTGTGTGGTACATTTCCTTTTCAAATAAATGAAATTTTAACTTGACATAAATTGATTTTGTTTGCCATACGTTGAATACATTTCTTTTTCTTAAACTATTGAAATATTGAGGTACATATTTTAATTTTTTTATTACCTACTGTTATTACAGAAAATAAAAGAAATTTTCACATCTTTACCACTGAATAATGGCTATTACTTATGCTAAATTCAGTAATAACTTTAATAATCATAATCTGCCTACATTTTTATTATTGGTAAGTAAATATTAATTACTTCTTAGATCATAGTATATAAACCAAAATGTTCGACTAAACATATATAAGTCAATTGCCAAGCAGATATAAAGTGAAAACGGAACACATTTGATTTCTGAGAAATTTAATAAATATTGATTAAGAAACTAATCCATCAAGGTAAAATCTTGGTTACTTAAACGGAAATGGCTAAATACTTCATTAATAATATCTAAGATATCCCATGGTTATCTGGTGAACTAATGATTAAAAAAACGACAGGCAGTGTGCAAAGATTAGAAAATCTATGCTTAACCCTATCTATCACAACTTTTAAACCTACTTCCATTGGAAACATGTATTTGTACAAGGAGAAGCTAGGAAATCTCATAGACCCCAGGAACAAGTTTTAGGAAGGGGACTGATTATATGATTCTAGAAACATTCTTTGAAACATACTGTACAGTTTTAAAAGATTACAAAGAAGAAGTAATCAGGAAAAAATTAAATGCAATTATATGCAGTACAGAATACCCCAAAAATAGAGAAGGTAACGTTGAAGTCCAATGAGCAGTCATATTCATTAAGAAAATACGCCTTAGCCTTTCAAGCTAAAATAAAATAAGCTATCAATGCTTGTGCCGTAAAAATTTTAAATGAGGGTAATCCTCATAAGACGAGACAGTTAAGCGGCCTTAGAAGGATTACTACGTAAAAATATCACATCCAAACATATAAATTGGGATAGCAAGAGCAAACATAAACACTTGCATCTTAGGGATGGGTCATAAAGGAACACGAAAAATGAACCACATAGTAAACTCCGGGTTATATTGCTGCAATTAGCCAGGTTAAAAATCAGAATTGATCGGGATATATTTTGTGGTAACAAATACATAACATGGGTGTATTTGTTGGTGATCGAAATCATGACCCCATTTGGAGATTATGCTATTAAGAGAAAGAAACTGACAATCATATTATCTTTGAATGCCAAGCTCATTGGAGACATAACCTAAGATAGCAAGAAGACCTGGGAAGAAGTGCAGCAGTGTCAGTCAAGACCTATTACTTCTCAAAAGAAGGGTCTCCTCAATGGAACTGAGGATGGGACCTAAACAATTCGAGCAGACAATCATAATTAATAAAATCAGTCACCCATTATTAAAAATGGGGACTGACATATGATCCTGGAAACATTCTTTACAACATCCTATAAAGTCTTAACAGACTATAAAGGAGAGGAAGAATTAAGGAGAGCATCAAATACTTGTTCGTTCATTTATTATATGGTATACAGTTGGCTGTAAAACAATTGAAGAAACTGCTCAGGGGTTTTTTGCACAAGAAAAATATTAGCACTCACACTCATTAGCAAAGTACACTTCGGCCTTTCAAGCAGAAATATATGCCATTAATCTAATAAGAGGTTACACTGGCAAAAAAATCTTCAATGTAGGATAGCCAAGCAGTTATTAAAGCATTAGCTAATTCGCGTGCAAAAAAATAATATCAAAACTATTCAATGAATGTATGGTTGCCAGGACAAAAAGGAATTTTGTTCAACGGAAAAGCATACACGCTGGCTAGAGGAGTATCTGCAAGACCATATACAGGCCTTGAACCTAAACCTAACCTAACCTTGGGATAATAAAAACAATACAGAATCCTTCATCACAGTTTGTATCCAAAAATACAAAAAGAGAAGTGGTTTAACGGTTGGGGCGCTAGACACAGTAAACTTACGTTCGAATAACCCTCACGAAGTCTGGCAAACTCTGCTGCAATCGGAGAGGACCAGACTCAGAGGAGTGATAGGACTATTAACCGGTCACTGGCATCTGAGAAAACATCTAATTCTTTTTCAATATATATTGTCCTTTGCTTGAAGACAATATGCGCCACATATACCATGATTCGATCGAACCACGATCTTTAGTGGACAGTTGGGTTGATATCTAAGTAGAAGGCAACAGTCGAATACATATTAATATTATGGTTCCATTTGTCAAATATTTCTTTTTTGTTCATGGTTTTTGCTTCTTCGACTGGAATATCGTTGAATATTTCGCCTTTTCTTACTGATTTTCTTGCCTTTCTTTCAACAACCCTTTTTCCTTGAATACCCCCGTGACCACGTACCCAGCAGAAATTACATTCTACCTTTTGTTTTAATAATTTTTGTGCAATTTCCATAAGCTTACTCACTTGATATGAACAATTTCATGGAAAAGTTTTGGATACTATCTATTGAGCTTTTGTAGTCCGTGAAAATAAACACCTTTTTCCTATTATCTTTCTTTCTAAAATGGCTTCCATTGCCTTACTTATCCTGATCACTTCTGCCCTGTAAATCGTTATATGGAGAAGAGCATAAGGATTTGATATCGTTCCAAAACATTCCATTTTCTGCGCAAGTAGGAATCTCACTATAGTCCCTTAAGTTTGGTCTATTGTAAATTTCATATTCAATAGAGTATTTATGATGTAAGTTTTCTTTGTGGATATTTTTAAGGAACTTGACTCGTTGCAGATATACGTCAATAAGAGGTGGATTCTTTATATTGATCCAATAGTTTTTTATTAACACTTTAATACATCGAGTCGCTGTTTTTCGAAATTTTTGATGGCGTGCTGAATAGGATTTTATATCAAAATTCTTTGCCATCAACTCTATTGTTAATTCCAAAGGGGGCTCACAGGACTCGAAATCTATCACATTAAGACATCTACGTTACCTAGGCGTATTTAACAACGATACCATTTGCAGATTATGCAATA